ATTCTGTTTAGAGCAGATGTTGTCAAACTCGTCCAGTGTGGCCTGCGCCCGTTTTTGTATGGTCTCTGGGGAAATGCTTTTCATACATAAACATTTGAAAGTTTATTTTATGGTAGAAAACACTAACTCTGAGCCCCAGTTAATTAAATGTTCTCTCTCCAAAAGTAATTACATTATTTTCTTCAGTAGACTTGATCGTACTTTATTACATTTTGAGTTCCATCAGTAAAAATTTGTGGAAGTTTTTAATCTGATGTGTAAATACCTACAAAATCCTTGATTGGTCTTAGTCCATAAAGCCTAAAATATTTACCTGGTCCTTTCCAGAAAGTGTACAGTTCTGGCTTTTTCATCACAGACTGAATGCCTTCGAGTTCTACAATGTTCATATTGCTGTATTTTTTTCTTTTTTTAGGTGAAAAGAAACATGTTTACACCAATGCCAAAAAGCAGATGTTGATATCTCTCGCTCCTCCTGTTCTCACCCTTCACTTGAAGAGATTTCAGCAGGTACCCATTTGTTACCTGAAACTTACTAATTCTAACGTCAAAGACATAGGAAAGTAAATATGTGTTTGTAAGACAAAGGTTTTTTTTTTTAATATATTTTATTGATTTTTCACAGAGAGGAAAGGAGAGGGATAGAGAGTTAGAAACATCGATGAGAGAGAAACATTGATCAGCTGCCTCCTGCACATCTCCTACTGGGGATGTGCCTGCAACCAAGGTACATGCCTTTGACCGGAATCGAACCTGGGACCTTCCACTCCGCAGGCTGACACTCTATCCACTGAGCTAAACAGGTTAGGGCAAGACAAAAGTTTTGATTAAGGTGCAAGTCGAGGAGGAGGAGGGATTTAGGCACAATTCTTCCTGTTTTGCTAGAATTCACGTTGCTCTTTTTAGTAATGTTAGCATTGTGCTCTAACCTTAGTTTGAGGTTAAAAAAGACCAGTTTACCAGTTACATGCCCCACTGAGCTGGCCGCAGTGGAGGCTGAGTGCTTCTCAGAAGAGTATTCTGCTCAGTTTTAAGCATCAGAACCTCAGGTCTGACATGGCTTTCCTCGTTGCCGAAGCGGAAACGCTGAGTTTCCTCACAGGAGCACGTAGCCACACGGATCAGCTCAGTCAGTGAGAGACACTGAAGTAGGGCGGGGGGGAGGGGCGGGGGGCTGCAGTTTCCTTACCATGTACACCTTGTGCGGGACAAGAACCTAAATCTGTTCCTTTTTTTCAGGCTGGTTTTAACCTACGCAAAATTAACAAACACATAAAATTTCCGGAGATCTTAGATTTGGCTCCTTTTTGTACTGCTAAATGTAAGGTAGGTAAAGTGTTCTTCTTGGGAAAATCCTTCAAATGGAAATCATCTTCCTTCCCCCAATAGAGCAGCAGCTCACCAAGTGTGAGGCTGAGCATTTCTGAGTGGAGTGGACCTTTGGCTTCTGTGCCTTCAGACTTTCAAGATCTGTGATGAATGGTTTTGAACGTTCGCGTTATTTCAGTTCAGCATTTTTTGAACTCCCATTATTGTGGCAGACATTGTCTGGGGAACTGAGAGCACAAAACTAAAGGTGAGCAGACATACTAACAGGCAGTCTGTCTAATGAGGCTCAGTGGTAAGATTGGTGCACACAGAGCAGGGTGGTTCCAGGGAGGTTTTGTTGAGTGGACGCGTCTCAGCCAGCACTAGAGTAGGACTGGTGTGGCGAGTGGAGTGGCCATGTGAGGTGGCGTGGGGGGTGCAAGCAGTTCTGGAGCTCACAGGACAAGGTCTGGGGAGTGTGGGGAGCTGAGCTAGGAACCTGGCTTTATTAGGCGAGCAGTGTGGAGCCACAGAAGGGGGTCATTGAAGATCTGTGTATTCCATGGGTTCTTGCTGAAGCCTGGAGGCTGGGCTTTGAGGAGGAAACGACTAGAGGCAGAGGAACGAGTTGGGAGGCTGTTGAGTTCAGTCTGTGGATGCTGGGCTTAAACTAGGGCAGGAGGAAAATGAACCAGACTTGTGGTCAGTTGGCCTGCAATATAAGACAGGGTTCTTTCCATAAATGCTGAGGGTGACCCAGAAAGAGGGCTTGAGCGTAGATTCCGGGGCCTGGCTGAATGACTGCGTGTGTGGGCAGAGGGAATGCCATATGTTGATGTGGGAAACCCACGAAGGGTGGGTGGAGAAAGTTGATAAAGGCTTCTGTTTGGGGCACAGAGAGTTTCAGGCATTTTTGGGAAGGACTTGGATGAACTTGTTTGAGGCCCAGGGCAGAGGCAAGGATCTGGCCATCAGTGCTAGATGGTGGTTAAAGCTGGGAGGTAAACGCAGAGCTCTGGCTGTCAATGATCTCCAGGTGGAAGGTCTGTGTCCAGTTTAAATACGCCAGTCTAAGTACATCCAAAGTTTTACTTCATCCACGAAACTTGGAATGATAGGAATTCCTCTTCCCAATCTAAACTTGGCCTTGAAGCAGATTTCAGAGATGGCAGGTAGTGAATTACAATTAGTATGTTCGTGGGCCACTGCCACTTTTGCTGGTAGCTTTGAATACAGGGCATCAGGAATCCAGCTTTTGCCTAAAATGCCAGTACCCTTTGTTCAGGCTTCAAGGGAAGGGCCACGTGTCCTTGACGTCAGAGTTTCAGAGAACAAGACTGGAAAGGAGTATAAACAGTAGAGAGATCACGACAGGAGATTCTGGGGATAAAGCAGGTAGACCCGTCAGGAGGCTTTGTGAAAAGGAAAAACGGCAGATCCTCGAACATTTTAAGTCTGGGAGACTTGGTAGGTTTGGTCAAGAGGAAAATCTAGAAGTGGAAGGTACAAAAGGTGAAGGTCCTTGATGTAGGGAAGACCCTGAGGATGAGGACATGGCATTACAGGGCGACAGGCCCTGTGCAGTGTAGGTGAGGCTGTGCCTCAGTTTCCTGCAGGGGGAGGTGAGGCCAGTTTCTGTGAAGGACAGCCGAGGACAAGTGACAGGGTTGTGCAGTCACACTGAGGACCTGATGAGGGAGGAATTGTTTCCCAGCAATAGCAGCGATGTGGGTGGGTTTGTGATAAACTGGTTGCGGTGGCCATGCTGGTGCAAGTGGGAGGTTGTGATGCTCATGGTCTGTTCTCGAACGCGAATGGGCATTGGAACCACCAGGGAATCACTAGGCCGGCGGGGTCTGAGCATCTGCATTTCTCAGCTCTCAGGTGGTCCCAGTGCTGCTGTTGCTACACTGTGAGTCTTGAAGATACAGATTTTATCTGGGAATGAGACCGAGAGGCAGGAAGAAATGGGACTGGAGGTTCCTGTTAGGTTGCAGAGTCCAGGTGAAGTGAGGCTGGCAGAGCTGTGCACCAGATTAGACTTTCAGTCAGAATCCTGAACGCTCCGAGCGACGAAGCTGAACAAGAACGGCGGGGACAGTGCTAAGGGTCTGACAGACAGTCCCTGAGGGCGGCTGGATTTGGGGTGAAGCAGCATTGAGCTCAGTGAACAGGGGCACCAATGAGAGCGGGGTGTACACAGCACCACTGGAGGGCGGGTGCTGGTTGGCAGCGGCCCCAGCTGGAGACGCCTGTCCACGTCCATCCAGCCTGTAACGGGCGGGTCTGAGGCCCAGCCCCTCACTGAACCCAGGGGTGGGGGTTGGATGTTTTGAAATGTGACTGGTAGTTTTTAGCAGGACCAAGGGTGAGTGGTTGAGGCCTTTGGGATTATTTGATCCCAGCTCTCCCGAAGGAACTCGGGCAGGAAACGACGCCATGGGGTGGCCTCTTTGTAGGAAGCGTGGGCTTGGCTCAGTGGGCGGAGAAAGTCAGATACAACCTCACGGGCGACCTCTGGAGCACAACTGTCTTGCCCACATTTCCTGTGTAAATGTGACGAGAACTAACATTTGGGTCCTGTCCGGTTCTACAGAACGTGGCTGAAGAAAGCACCAGGGTGCTGTACTCCCTGTACGGAGTCGTGGAGCACAGCGGCACCATGAGGTCCGGGCACTACACTGCCTACGCCAAGGCGAGAACGGCAAACAGTCGTCTCTCTGACCTTGTTCTCCGCGGGGATGTCCCCCAAGGTGAGCCCGTTCAGTTCTGGTAACTTGGCATACACATGGCAAACCCAAAAGTGAAGAACGGGAACCATTCCATTTACACTTAACTTTCCGTCTCCTCGGCAGATTTTGAAATGGAATCAACCAAAGGGCAGTGGTTTCACGTCAGCGACAGCCACGTGCAAGCTGTGCCTACAGCGAAAGTCCTGAACTCACAAGCATACCTCCTGTTTTATGAGAGAATACTCTAAGTTTTTATAACAGCTGTGATAAAAATAAACAAGTGAAGACTAACTAAATCATGTTCACGGTAAATTACGTCACCAGGAGAAATCACGTGCTGAAATATTGAAGGAAACACCTGCAGATTGACCACGGTTTTGTCCTGTCATCTGTCGTCATGGTGTTCCCGCCTGCTCCCAGGTTCTGGATGGACTCTGAATCAAGTCCTCTGGTTAACGTGTCTGTGGTGGTTACAGCACATCAATAAACTGACTTACCCCAACACTTGTTTTATTACTCACAAGATGGTGAATTGTGTTGACTTACCCCCACCAAGTACCATGTGACTGGCTAAGAAAACTTCACTACATGTGTTAACTTTATGAACATAGTTATTTGGTATTGACAGTGGTGACAGGCAGAAGCATGTCTTCAACACTGATGCTACGGTGGGCACAGCTGCGTGCAGGGTAACTGCAATTAACTGGCCCCAGGCACCAGCTCCCTTCAACGCCAGCGTGTCGAGGGAGCCTGCCAAATGTCCGCCCAGTCCATTCCCTTTACCAAGCCTGTCAACAGTCCTGGGAGTTTCTCTAGGAATTTCTTTGATGACAGGAACCCTGGACTATGAAGTTACTGAAAAGGTGTCACTTTTTAACATGTGTAAAGCTTAGCTGGGACCCTGTCAGCCATAGTGCTTCTAAAAGTCCTTCAGAATACCAAAAACATAAAATTTGAAAGTTTTCCAACACATATGTGACACGTCCCATAAAAATCAGTTAGCTTTTACTGATCTTATGAAAGCAAACTTGGTTAACTTGTACGGGTCAGGAGGGGCATGCTCAGCTCTCTTAGCATCTTTGCACTTTGCTGCTAATGAAACAAGTTACTGTGAGTCTTAGGGTTTCCAGAGTTGTGATAAAAACTGGTCTGTCACACACACCCCTTCACAAGGCCAAGCCCCGCGAGAGCAGCGCAGACCATGTCTGAGTACACGAGCACAGCCATGTTCAATGCAACTCATGCACCAACAGGCAGCAGGCCAGGCACACGCTGGAAAGAGGCCCCTAATCACTCCCACAGCCAGTTTCATGAACCATGTCGAGTCATCTTAGATCCAGGGACAGTGGTCAACAGAAACGAGGGTTTGATAGTAACAACACCTTTACTGCATTGTCCAGCCAAGGACAGAAACACAATACTTCTTAACTTAAGAAAAACACCAGGCAATTCCTAGTTCACTACAACTACTACTACAGCAAAAATTAACCCACTCAGTCGTTTTGGTCGTCATCCCAGTCTTTCTTCCCAGTGGGAGGCTTGGGCCCACCGGCTGGTTTTGCCATGATGATCTGCAACACAAAACAAGAATATACTTACAAACTCAACCTTTAAGAGGAAAAAAGACCACGTTTTTATTGGCCTGACTGAAGATTAAGCAATCATCTAGACGTAAGCCACGGGTTTTACAGTGCACATGGAATTCAGCGCTCAGCCGAGTTCCCTGCTTTCCTCAACAGTAACAGCAACAAAACCCACACCCATTAGGAAGGGGCACTCGTTCCCTCCAAGACCTGCAGGTCAACACCCACGGAGCCGAGAGAGACTGCCACGCACCACCGGCGCGAACCAATCAACATGGCACCCGATTGCTATTTATACACAAGTGCTGTCTTGCCAAGCGTCTTCATCACAATTTCCTTGAGGTTTAGGAACTTTAGGTCCACCTGCCAGTTTTGCCATTAAAATCTAGTAAGTTCAACACTGAAAATTTCTAGTCGTGCACCTGAGAACCACTCCGGCGGCAGGAAGTGCGTGGCATGAACCCAAGTTCACCTATCCAGTTCCCTGGTAAGTTAAAAGCACCCCAGAAGCCTCTGCTTCACCTACGTGTGCTAGCCCAGCATTCCCCAAGTACAGTCATCCAGAGGCCTTGACACTGGGAGCCCTCGGGGGATGTCAGACTGATGGGGAGCGGGCCTAAGCTGCAGTCAGACATCCTTAGTGCTGCCACAGAGGTGGGCCACTGCGCTCACCAGCCCTCAGCCCAGCTTGTGGCCGAGAGGGGCTCCCCCTGTTAGAGTGCACTGACCACCAGGGGGCAGCTCCTGCATTGAGCATTTGCCCCCTGGTGGTCAGTGCACATCATAGTGACCGGTCCTTCTGCTGTTCGGTCATTCGCATATTACCCTTTTATTATCTAGGAGGATTTGTTTGGAAAAAAGGGAGAAGGGAGGTGACAGTTTAGGGCTGAAATACATTTGGGAGAGTCTAAAATTAAATTAGTTGGGTTTCCTCAGAATAGAACTCTCCAACTCATACTTTCTGAATCTCAAAACTAGAAACAGTGTTGCTTCCCAAACGTGTATTAGGAAATGTTTCTGGGTTTGGCTTCTGTTTAAAGCACAATACCACCCCCTCACCTGCTTGGTTCCCACCTCTTTTCAGAAGCTTCCATAAGAAATATGAGCCTTAAATTCCTGGAATACCACTTTACAAACTGAAGGTAAGTTCAGATTGAACTAAAGGCATTATCATTTCAGAATCTAAGTGTAGCTTGATTTCTTAAACAGTACCGAGACCAGCTCTCAAACTTTCGGGGCCTCATAGCCACCTGCACGGCTTCTTTAAAATACACTGCTGGGCCTCCTTCCAGAGTTTCTGATTCAGTGAGTCTGGGTTGGGCCCCAAAATTTGAATTTTTACAAGTTTTAGGTGATGCTGATTTGTGGACTGTTATGTGACAAAGGTCAATCCATCCCTTCTACATTATGCAACACTTACAACTGATTTCCAAGTCCCGTCCCACAATATACGCTTCGCAAAATTAGGTACAAATTCATGGCAGCAACACACATTGGTGAATGTGGTCAGAGGGTGGTCGGCACCTGTTTTCCCAAGTGCAGACCAGGCAGACAACAATGAACTCACGAAGCCCAGGCTCCCGTTTAAACCCAAGACCCAAAAGCACCGTTGTGACCGAGGCACTCGGCGACTGCAGCTACTGTCTCGCCAGGAGAGCTGACATTCACAAAGGGTCTGAGTTAAGGAACTGCCTCTGTTAGAGTATCTGCTCCCATCTCCTGTCCCCTTCTACTTTTGATAGTTTTCATTCTTGGCCACATGCTAACTTTTAGAACAAGCATTTCCTTAGGCTTCCACTATGTTTATTTAAAATCTGGAAAATACGTATTTTCAATGAAAACTACCCAATACATCAATGTAGCAACGCCCAACTAATAAATCTACCACACAAAGCCCAGCTGCATTCTACTCATCTCGTGATGGGCAAAGTGCTCTCTTGCTCTGAGCTGCCATCTGTATTCCTGTCAACATCACCAACTGGTCCCTGTGTTCAGGTGTCTAGTTTCCACCCCACTTGCTTCTCACAAGATTAATTTGGCATAACTTTCACTTACTGGATTGATACTGTGCTCCCACAAATTACAAGGTTCTATTAAGTACGTATACTTCATTGCTTAGAATCACTTCTAGAATTTTGTAGAAAAATATATTTCATTAAGTTTACTAGCAAACACCTTGAAAAATTATGAATTCAGGTTTGTCTCTGAACCCAGTAGTCATTACCACAAATTTTTTTAAAAGCGGAGAAATACTATGATTTTTAATATCTTTAAAATCTTTTAGTCCCACCCCTACACATAATTTGTCACATAGGAAAGTTAAGCACCCAGTTCCTACCGTCTCATGAATTTCCTGTAAGCTGGTGACCTGCAGTGTCTGCCCTCTGTCCTGCCTCATTCCTCACCAACGTCGCCCTGAACTTCCTCTCCGGGCTATTTTACAAAGGGCTAGATCGGTTTAAAGACACTGGCCCGCCCGGCAAGGCTCAGTGGTTGATTATCGATCTATGAACCAGGAGGTCACAGTTCGGTTTCCGAGCAGGGCACATGCTCAGATTGGGGGCTCAATCCCCAGTAGAGGGCATGCAGGAGGCAGCCGATTTTCTCTCATCGTTGATGTTTCTATTGCTCTCTCCCTTCCTCTAAAATCAATAAAAACAACAACACATTTGAGGGTAAAAAATAAAGAACAGAGACACCGTTGCTGGCCCTCCTACACCTGTCAGGCGAAGATGAAGGCCACTCCTGTAAGCAGAAGGAGAACTGTGCTCGGCCTAGTTCCATGAAAACACACTACTGAGCCCCACGAGGATTAGTTTTTCTACAGATCAGGGCCCCCTCACCTGGTCCACTCTGAGCACCGTGACGGCGGCGTTGGTGGCCAGTTTGATGGCCCAGTACTTCCCCAGGTATGTGTCCAGGACGCCAGCCTCCAGCATGTCCTTCACGGCAGGGACTTCCGCCTGTGGGCAGAGCAGTTCTCCCTTCAGGTTCTTTATGTGGAAAGGTTTACAGGACAAAAGTGCCCCTCCCCCCACCACATGCCCTATAGAAGGTTACTAATGAAGCAAGACACTCCATTCTCATCCCCGTTCCTTTTACACAAGTATTTCTACTTGCAGGTTTTGCATTCACAAAATCAGGTTCAGAGTTTTTCCCAAATACCTCAATGTCTAATCCGACATTTTTGTTTCCTTCCTGATGCACTGCGTAGAGCTTGGAGATGACTTCGTTGGCTTTAACCCCCGAGTTTTCCGACAGTGCCCGGGGAACAGCTTCAAACGCCTCTGCAAACTTCTTGATGGCGTACTGTTCCAGCCCAGGACACGTCTGCAGCAGAAACAAGCTTGTTAATGTATTTGTTCCGATCGCAGGAGGAAAGCCACTGCACCCGAGAAAGCTATACCTCTCCGTAGGACGTGATCTGCTTGGCTAACTCGATTTCTGTTGCTCCACCTCCAGGCACAAGACGTTTATCCTGTAACATGTAGAAAAATGTCAATGAGCAGTTTTGTTTTCTGTACTCGGTTCCCGTGCTCCACCCAGGGCCTGCGGGTCAGGACCTGTTCCTCACTCTCTAAGCACAACTGTTACCCAGATGTAGAGCTCTGGGCGTCGGGTACATGACGAGGGAGAAAGCATGAATGGGAGCCGGTCACACCTGCAGACCGAGCACTAAGAGCCGTGCCTGGGAAGGAACCACCACAACCATCCCTTCGAGAACAGCTCACGATCTCAGGCAGAAGAGGGCTCTGCTCCCCATCAGCTGCCCCGGGAAGGCCTCCCCACGCTCAGGAGTCTGTGCACTGCGCCTGAGCCCTGCAGTGAGCGCCGCCTCCCGACGCCTCGGTACTGACCCTGGTGAGAACTTTGAAAGTGTTCACAGCGTCATCGACCGCCCTCTCCACGTCGTCCATCAGGTTGTCAGTGGAGCCTCGGAGCACGATGGTGGAGATGGCCCCGTCCTCCTTTTCTGTGGGTCAAGTGCAGACATTTGGGGAGGAGTGAAGAGCAGGAGCTCCCGTGCTGCAGGCACCTGCGCCCGCCCCACCTACCGTGCTTGAAGACCACCACCTGGGTGTCCCCCACTTCTGAGAGGGAAACACTGTCACAATGTCCCATTTCTTCAGCCACAGGAGGAGTCTGGAAGAAAGCGACCGTTGTAACAACAATAACCAATAGGCGTGGCCGTTTGCTAATGTGTCCAAAATGCATACCAGCCTAGGCAGAGCTGTAGCACCAACAGTCTTACACAGCCGCCGGAGGTCCCACTTTGAGTTCAGCCTTAAAAACAAAACCCAAAAAACAAAGACCTTAATATAAGCAGCTTTGATTCCAACAGCTAGAAAAAAATGCAGAGATTAAGCAGGAAACTATACACTGGTCCCCACGCCACACATTTTTGAAGGTTCAAGCTCAGAAAAGGTTCGGATTGCACGGTGGGCCCAGGTTGGGGGGTGGGGGTGGGGGCGGCGCGGGTCACGCATTATTCTAGAACAGGGAGCTTCAAGTCCCCATTGACATTGAGGGGTCAGTTGTAAAACATGAGGGTACGTAGAAAACGTCTGCTTTCCTGTGGCAGCCACATATGCAGGGAAGAGAGCAGGGATTTACCTGCTCATTAGATCAAGTACGAGAAGAGGGGGGATAGTAGAGGACCTATCCAGTGCCTCATGTCCTGACCCCACACTCTGGTGACTGTGCCAAGCCTCTGCCTGGAACGCCTTCCCTCCCTCTCTTCAAATGACACCCCAAGATTAACCCTTTGCGGTCGTATTAAATGTGGACATGGGTGTAGTACTGGTCGAATTAATTTCCATTGAAAGAGGAGTGATACATAACATGCAAGATTATGAAGGATAAACAAGATTTAGTCTTTTTTGGAACTATGTCATTACTAGTAGAATCACTACAAACGTTATCAGATTTGTCGGGGCAATGTTTTGCTTCGTGACAAGGTCGCTTAGACACTTAAGAGCTTTCAGAGAAATTATGAACTGATACATGAATGAATAGAGTTAAGATTCATACGGTTCCTTGCTGTGGTGGCTGAGAGCAGACATACGACCACAAAGGATTAAGTTAGTTCTTTTGCTCTTTGATCGAACACCTTACGCTTCCCTTTTTTAAACAGCCGACAGGTGTGCTGAATTTGATCGTGCCTCACCGTCGACAAGCCCTGTAACAGAGGTGAGCAGAAGGAAGCAGCCTCACCTCACCAGCATGACGTTGTACTTGTTTGCGTAATGGAGAGCCATGTCCGCCACCTTGCCGCCGGTGACGATGACGTTCGCACCGGTGTCAGCGATAGCTTTGACTTGTGCGTCCATAAGGTTTTCTTCTCCCTTACTGAAATTCATCAGCTCCTCAGCAGTCTTGATCAGCACTGTTCCCTAGCAACACAAGCAGGAACTCTCTTTAAAACCATCTCATGGCTTTGATGTTCAAAGTCCTAAGATAGCATTCTACTGAAGACAAACATTTGGGAAAAACATGAAAATACATGTGAGTGTATTACGAAGCAGAATACGAAACCTTTACAATAGACACCCAGCTTGTTCCCTGCCTCCCCCGTTCCAAAACGGACACCTGCTCCCTGACAGGCGCCGTGGCGGAAAGGCTGGAAACACCTGACGTTAGATGTTTGGTTGGGCAAGGGTCCTGGTAACACTGTGGTTCTTCCGCTACAACAATCATCTGCCACATGCCAAACGACAACGATAGGCTTTTCTGTACCGAGCAGACATTTTTATAAGAATGTGGACTGACCATGCCCCACCTAAACCTGTCACACTTCTGAACCCATCAACAACTCGATTTCAACAATCTCGGGGTGAAGCCACCAGTGACCCATAAACTTCAAACTTGACGTAAAATGTATTTAGAAAAACACAAACGTATCAACTTTAATTACATCAGCCTGTTTTTCTTAGGATGCTACCGAAGTCCAACATCACCTTTTAAAACACGAATGAACAGCACGCAGTACGGGGATCCCCGTGGGCACTCAACTGCTGAGTGTGTCACTCCTTGCGGTCAAGGGCCACCTTTATCACCAAAGACACCACACCACGGCGTAAAGACTCAAACTCAATATTCAGTATTGGAATTAGATATTCAAATATAAACCCGGCTTTAAAAACCAGACATGACCTGAGTTTCCAATGATTACACAGTATTCACTGGTTAAGAGCAAACCGCCCCCAGAACAGAGAATCCTGTAGTAGCTGCCTGAGCGGGCAGCCCCAGGTCTCCCGGTGCTGGTACCTTGGTCTCGGTTATCATGCCGTCGAAAGGACACGAGTACACAGCTATCTTCGCATCCTTGACAGAGGTCACGTCCCCTTCCACTTCCTTCTTGAAAACCATGCCGTGCAGGACCGAAGAGGAACAGACGCCTGAGCCCTGAGGGGCGACATCAAAGCCACAATGAGCTCACAAGTAGCACCTGGGCTGTGCTGATTCTGCAGTCACCAAAAATACCCCTTCAACAGCGACAGCAGCGCTGACTCCTGGGGAATGGGTGGGAAGGGGCCACCGATATGGGGGAGGGGAGAGGACCTTCAGTACAAGTGGGAGGAGCCAAAGACAGAAAACTGTTCTCATCCACACACCCACCCATCCACCACCTACCCATCGTCCACCCCCACCCCCACCCCTAGTACTGGGTGCCGAGGGACAGGCACACTCAGTACTGGGGCAGAACAGAGAACAGGCATCGCTTCAGATCTCCCAAGTTCACCACTTAATAGGGAGGGGACACTGCATGGAGTCAGAAAACAGCATGGGCACCTTTACACACACAGAGCGGGCACGTGTGCTTGTGTAGGCTAAACTTTTACTACATCAACAGTCACATGGCAATGTGCAAAACCACTAATTCTGGTTTTAATATACCAATCAGACATTTTTTTAAAAAAATATATTTTATTGATTTTTTTACAGAGAGGAAGGGAGAGAGACAGAGAGTTAGAAACATCGATGAGAGAGAAACATCGATCAGCTGCCTCATGCACATCCCCCACTGGGGAAGTGCCCGCAACCCAGGTACATGCCCCTGACCGGAATCGAACCTGGGACCTTTCAGTCCACAGGCCGACGCTCTATCCACTGAGCCAAACCGGTTTCGGCTACCAATCAGACATTTTTATGAAAAACACAGGCTTATTTCAATGCTAACATTAAAGTTATTGCAGAGCAAAGGACAACTTTCATCCCACTCAAAACTGCCCAAGCTTGTGGCGCTAACGCAGCACATCCAAAGAATATGAAGATCAGTGTTTTGCTATGCACGCTCTCACCCTTCAAGCTGTCATGGAAGAACGACAACTTTAGCCCTAACCGGCTTGGCTCAGTGAATAGAGCGTCGGCCTGTGGACCGAAGGGTCCTGGGTTAGATTCCGGTCAAGGGCATGTACCTCGGTTGCAGGTTCCTCCCCAGCCTGGGCCCTGGTCAGGGCATGTGCAGGAGGCAAACAATTGATGAGTTTCTCTCACATCAATGTTACTCTCTGTTTCTCCCCCTCCCTTGCACTCTTTATAAAAATTAATGGGAAAATTGATTGAAGTTTCCACGTATACATCTGATCCCCAACAACAAAAAAAACGGCATT